TAAGTGGACCAGTTTACGAGATCTCGGTATGTGTTTAATCGGTGTCCGGGACCGGTTACTCTAGTCGTTGGACGACAAATGTTATGTTCTATGGAGTATGCCATTATGTATGTTCTGATATGAGATGATTATGTTTATGAATGATTTATTTTATGGATATATGAAATGTCGGACTTCGTTCACTAACCTCTTTACTGTTATGTTACTTGCTGAGCTTTAGCTCATTGTTTGTATATATGTATTTATAGGTGAGCATTCTGGAAGTCAAGCCTAGGCGGAGTCCGAGCCGAGCCGCCGTTTTGAAGCCTACCAAGTGTTTTGTGTGCTCCGAGCCGGGGTTAGGCCTGGAAGACCGTTTTGTGAGCTTAGTTTTGGTTGTGCATATGGCGTGAGCCTATGTTTTGTACATGAATTTTGATTATATGTAATGTAATGTAGTCGGTAAATTAACATTTTTGGCATGTAATGTATGTTCATATAAATGCACAGCTCTTTGGACTATTAGTGGTTATTGTTTTCGCTTCCGCGAGCCCCTTTTATTTATGTTTTGTATAGCAAGGCCTGTGGTAATCTAGGATTACTGGCCGGTCTCGTTGCCAAACTCCTAGGGGCGAGTTTGGGGCGTGACAAATCTTCTGATAATGCTCACTGATGGTGGTCATGGCGAAGAATTCATCGACAGTGCTGCTTTTCGACGACAATGAAAGAGTACGGAGGAATGGTGGAAGCGAGGATGAAAGTGAAGGACGTGAAGTCGAATGAAGAGGTTTAGGAGCTAGGGAGTTACTTGGTGGAGCAGTACAACCTCTAGCACCACCGCAACAGCAGATGAGAAATTGATCTAAGGTTTTAAGAGGTGGTAGAGGCGGAGAAGTAAGGGTTTTCGATAGGGCTTCGACGAGGGAAGAGATGAGGAAGTAAGGGTGAAACCTAAAGAGGTCTTGAAGAATCCCCTCTCTCTTCACTTCTTGCTCTTTCTGGTAGCAAGCCCCCATCTTTATCTCTCTATTCTTTTGATTCTCTCTTTTTTCTTTCCATTTCATATGGACCACAAACCCTAATTCCATACCAGTCACTCATGTTCTCATCTACGAATCATGTTTCACCTTCAGTTTATTAATCTCTAGGGCTTCCAATTTGTTTACTTTTTTTTTCTTCTTTCTTTTGAAGCTTTTTTATTATTATTATTTATTTTTATTTTTTTTTGAAGAGGGGGAAGGGAGGGTAGGGGATTCTCTGTCCAATAATGGATAAATTGTTATAAAGATTTTTATTTTTTTTTATTTTTATAATTGGTGTATTAAAGTTTTAGGCTTGAAAATTTAAGCAATGAAGATGACTTTGTAATAGTTCTTCTAAAGAAGCATCTGGTAGAGCAGAAATGAAAGCATGGCATACAAGTGTGCTTTATGTGCACCAAAAAAACAAGACAAATGAGATGAGTTGCTACACCTCTACTACTCATCATCATCATCATCATCATCATCAACAACAACAACATCTTGTTCTTCTTCTCCGTCGGTTGGATTTGATGCAAATCTTCGTGAAACCAACAATGAATTTTTTATACATGGAGAATAATTTAATGATCTATTGAAACATGGATGAGAGAAACCACGATCTGTTGAAAAATTCATTTTTGGTTTCAATAGATAAAAACATGAATAGATAAATAAATAAAAAATTCAACAAATAGGAAAAATTTGGTCAGATAAAAACTTGAATAGAGAAAATTTAAATAGATAGGTTCAAAAATTGAACAAATACATTAAAAATTTAACAGATAGATACAAATTTGACAGATAGGTTCAAAAAAATTCAACAGATAAAATTTAAACAAATAGGTTCAAAATTTGAATAGATAAAAAAAAATTGAACAGATAGATTAAGTGGTAAAATTAGAAACAAAACTCAAAAATAATAAAATATACCTCTCACTATAATATTTTACAAAGAATATGCTTCTCACCAAGAAAAAAATACTCATGGGATTAGCCTTTGTACCTATACGGGGGCGAAATATCCTCTGCTTTCCGTACTCCTTGTACTCCAAGCTTCTCTTGACGGCGTCTACCTGGCAACACAGAAACGGTGAGCTGCCCGGCGGTGATGTGCCGGATAGACCCTCTGACGATCAAGTCAGTCCACTTGAGAAGAAGACTGTTGAAGAGAAAGTATTCTCCTTGGGGAAGAAGTTGCATACCTCTAACGTTCACCTTCCTCCACTATTTCTAGGCTGGCCATGCAGCCCCAAGATCGTGCGCGCACCACCTCTATTGTCCTCCCCTGGACAGGTGGCAGTGCTTGCCTCTCACCACCTTACGCGTGTAAAGATTTTGTCCTCCAACCAGTACATGCGGAACTGCTAAACGGTATTGGTGCGTACGTGGAGCAGATGTCCTCTTCCTTACGCCATTGGCCCAGGTGGCACACTTAACCGGAGTACCACGACCAGCTGGTTCCTTGTGGAGAATTCCCTCCTCAAACACATAACCGAGCTAATGAACGTCGATCTGCCCCTTGGCAAAGGGGCCAAAGTGTTATGCTCATGGCCGAGCTATTTATGATCGGTCCCACCTGACCGAACGGCCATGAAGCACGCTAGACTTCCACCGTTCTTCATTCTAGATCACATGAAGCCCGTCCATCTCGGCCGATCGGTTAGGCACACGCCGACGCTAATCGCATCTCAAGTCCAGTCCGGGCTGCTCTTAGCTTGGTCATCAGACACAGCTGCGCGCTCGGCCGCGTCATAGCTCGGCCAGGCATTGGTTCGTGTCTAACCGATCGACCTTTCCAGCCGTGCAAGTTAGGCCGCTGGGCCGAGCAAGAGAGGAGTCTGCTCGGCGGCGTGCGGTTCGTCATGATCGGCGTTATCGTAGCTCGGCCGTACTAACGAGCAAATCTCCCCTCTCAATTGCCCCTTAACCCCATCCGACCTAGCCGTGATTGGGGTTACCATCGTGACCGAGCTAAAGGATGAGTTGCGCCATTACCAAGCCGAGCATGATTGAGGGCATATCTATCGCCGAGCTGTCCCGTTTGGTCGGCCATTTCCTCCGCAGTCTCATCAAAGGTCATACAGCCGTACTGACAGCCGCGTTTCCAGTGCCACGTGGCTTCACGCCATTAGGTCGTGCAGCCAGCTGTTCTGCATGCGCAGAATTCAAACGGCGCAGCCATTTAGGTTCCTTCCCCCCTCTTTTGTATTCCAACGAAGGGCCCAAAACACTTCACTTTTCACCTTCTCTTCCACACAAACCCTAAACCCTAGCTTCCATATTCTCTGAGAGATTGCCCTCACTACCGCTGCATCTCTCCTGCTTCCGTTCCTATTTTTTGTTTCTCGTGAGGTCACAACCAAGTTCGAGAGGCCCTGTTCTTGCATCTGGTATTTGGTAAGTCCTCCTACCCTTCCTTCAAACTCTCGTACTCGAGTTCCTCAAGTTTTCCACTTTTTTGTACTTGTATTCTTCATGTTTATGCTTGGGGCCATTAGAGTTGCTTTCCCTTGCTTAGATCTTGCACACCCTAAGGCAAACAAAAACAGTAGGAATGGATGGGGCTTTCGTGCCCCTTGTTTCTCCTGGGTTCGAACGAGTTCGTCCTATTTCTGGGATGAACAGTTTGAATCTGGGTAGAACCGAGCTAAATGCTCGTTTAGATCCATAAATGACACTATGGCCGAGCAAAAAATTGGTTTGTGGCTTCTTGTAGAGGCTGTAGCCAAGCCGAACTACCAATTAGACCGGTAATAAAACTGAACGGGGCGAAAACTTGAGGTCGTTACTCGGGCCTTGACCGAGCTAAAGGCTCAGTTAGTTCGTCAAATAGGACCCGACCGAGCTATTACTTTGTTAGGATCTCCTTCTTGGACCTTGACCGAGCTAGAAGTGGAGAGTTAAAACCGAACTAGGAAATCGACCAAGTAGCCTAGCCGAGGTAGGGGTCGAACCGGCCAAACACTAATAATCCCTTCACTGAGCCAATTCCCATAGGGGCCGCGCAATTTATGCCGTGCTAACCCTTGGAATTATTTTTTAACATGCAGAACAAATAGGACCGACCAAGCCAGTCCAGCACTATAATTGGTGGAGCTCAAAGTCCGAGCAAACACACCAACATTTTTGTCCGAGATACAAGTTAGTTCACCAAATAAAACCGAGATAGATGCGCAAGCACCAATTCATGGTGAGCTCGCCCGGTGCGATGGCCGAGTTTCGTAGGGAGTACAACATCCCAGATGACGTCGTCTTAGAACTCACCAAAAATGGAGACACCCCTTGGGGGGATCTAGACCGGTGCCCCTTCACCGTCGTATCAATAGTAGAGGGAGGGCTCCGCTTCCCGGTTCAACCCTTGATCTGCAAATTTTTGAGGCAGACAAAGCTTTGCCCGACCCAAGTTTCCAATAACACTTACAAAATAATAAACGGGGTCGCCGAGCTGAACCGGAGGCTCGGTCTCAATCTCGGTCTGGCCGAAATTTTCCATCAGTATAGTCTAAGTAGAAATAAGAGTGGGCTTTGCTGGTACCTCAAAGTCAAGAAGGGCCGAGCAAAGCTAATAGAGGGCAACCCGGACAAGGAGACCAACGATGACGACTTCTTGTGGGTGTCCGGTCGCTATGAGGACACCGAGGCACCCATACCAGGATGGTACATTAGAAAGGATTTTAGCAGTGTCGGTGAGTTGCTCGGCTGACCGCGCTATTTTCTTTATGCATCAATTACTTTCCATGCCGATCTAACACTTGTCTTCTTTTTACAGATAAGCACCTAGCAGCAGACTACCACCAGGCCAACCAAGAGGCCATCAGAGCCCTGCTGTGCCATCCTGCCGAGGAGAGGGAGGCTTCGAAACAGCTCGGCTTTGAACAGTCATACCACTACACCGCACTACGCAAGAGCCGGGTTACCGAATTTCTGCGTGCGCCATCCCCAGAACCAGATCCAAACCTACCACCGATCAGGCTTGTTCCACTCATCGCCGAGCAAGAAATGGCGAAAATCAGGGCAATCAAGTCCATCATTACTGGTGAGGAGGGCGAGTCCCAACCACCGGAGGCAACCGAGGGAACATCATCCGCACCTGCCGGGCAGAAGAAGAGTGCGGTATTGGCCCTCGCCAGCGAACAACCGGCTGGCCGGTCAAAGAAAAGACCGAGAAAGGACCCGGCCGGGCAAAGCCTCGCTGATGAAGACTCCACTGAGCTCGCCGCCACCAAGCTGGGCGACCAGACCGAACAACCATTGGGCGGGCCTTCCAAATCCCCAAGTTCCCCCCCCGGTCTGGGCGCCCGAGATAACGTACAAGGGTCGGGCAATCTCGTCTGCTGATTTGGTGTATGCTGACAAGGATTACTCCCTTGGTTTTAATATGACCAAGGGCCTAATCCTTCCAGCCGACATGAAGAAGCACGACGAGCTGTCCGATCTGAAAGTGCTTCACTCAATAGCCAAGTCGATAGTGCTGGTAAGTTTTTCAGTTTGTCTTCAAGTCATTGCTCAGTTTTTGTTCGGTTGCCTTGGTACTCATGATCTCTTATTTGCTTGCAGGCCGCGCAAAAGAATTACCTCGCCCACGAGCGTATGATCGCCGTGGGGCAGAGTTTGCGTGAGGCCATCGCCGAGAATAAGGCCCAAAAGGTTGAGATAGCAAAACTCAAGGCTGCGCAAGAAGCGGTCGCGGCGGAGCGAGACATCCTGAGCCAAAAGGTCGACCGAGCTGACGAAGACAAGCAACGGGCCGTGAAGTCGATGAAGGCTCGGTACCTTGCCGAGCTGAGGAAACTGCGCGATGCCAACAAGGTAGCCATGGACAAGGCGGTCGATGATGCCGAGGACCGGGGATACGCTCAGGGCGAGAAGACTTACGAGCGCCAGGTTCAAGCGACCAAGGACATCTTTTTCCAGTGCGGTTGGAAAGCCGCCGTGGAAAAAGTTGGCCTTGGTCAGGACGCTGACATGTTCCTTAACCCCCCTGCAGCTCACATCCCGATCTATATGCAGGCGTACGCCAGTGCTACCCAGAACCGGCTTATCGCTGAGGCAAGGAAAGAGGCCGAGGAAGAAGCCGCCGCAGCGCAACAAGCCGAGCAAACCACTACCGAAGCATCCCAACATGCGGAAGATGAAGTGGCTAATCGGGAGGTTGCTGTGAAGGATGGAGCAGATGATGACGCCGGAAAAACCTGCCCGAGCAGACAACTGAGATTGCCGAGCAGACGGTGGAGGCAACCGAGCAAACCGTGGACCTTGAACTGGACTAAAGATCTTCCTAGTTTTGTTTTTGTTTTCTTTTTTTTTTCTTTTTTTTTGGATGTAACGGGCTATGTCCCCCATCTTGTACTGAAATTTCCTTTATCAATGAAAATTTTCTACTTTTTGCTTGTTTAACTTCCATTTCTGTTTAGTTGGCATGTGCATAAATTCCTTGATTCAAACTGGTAGGTCGGCTTCGCCGCGCACCAAGTCGAGCTGAAATTAGAGTTGCTCCACTTAAACTCACTTCTTTCCCTGAGCCGAGCATAATCAGCTCGGTCCGAGCAACAATTAGCTCCGCCATTCTGGCTTTGACAACGTTCTAAGTCTCATTTTTGGGTGGGCAAATTAGCTCGGTCCCAATAGGAAGTTGGGAGAAATCACAAACATTTCATTTCCGCTGAGCAAAATCAGTTCGGCATACATTGGAATTACCAATGTCCCAATGTGGCCGAGCAAAATCAACTCGGCCTAGCGTTGGACAGGACGCCAACATTGTCTTCGTCCAAGCAAAACCAGCTTGGATCTTGTAAGTTTGGCAATTCACCAATGTTTCGATCTTTCCGAGCAAAATCAGCTCGGCCAATGGATTGGACAGAACGTCAATATTTCCACCTTCGAGCAAAGTCAGCTCAGCTATTATTAGTTGGGCAATTCACCAACATATCGTTCGGCCGATCAAAGTCATCTCGGCCTTAACATTGGGTAAAACACCAATATTCCATTTAAGTTGGTCAGGACGCCAACACCCAGCTGGGCGAGCAAGATTCAGCTCGGCCCCTGAGCTAATATACCAATTACTTCGCAAGCCAATCTTCCGAACGGTTTGCACGGTATGCCTCATGCCGGCCAGAGAAAGTCAGTCCGATTCCATTCAGATCGGTCTATTTGCCCCTGGTATCTATAATTACCTTGCGTTCTTGCGATGTCATTGTACAAAGATGTAATATCAAACAACAAGAGGGCTATTTTTCATTACAAAAGCATTGCTATCTTTTACATCAAGTGCCAGAAGGCTAAAGGTCTAGAAAAGCTAAACGACACAAGCAAATTACATCTTAAAAGTAAAAGACCTTAAGGTTGGCTGCATTCCATGGTCGGGGGACAGCCTTGCCATCTAAATCTTCCAGATGGTATGCCCCTTTACCAGCAAGACCAATCACCTTGCATGGTCCTTCCCAATTTGCACCGAGCTTTCCTTCGCCAGGGACCACTATATTGCCAAGCACCTTTCTTAATACCCAGTCCCCAATCTTGAACAGCCTGGGGTGCACAGCCTTGTTGTACTTTTTGGCGAGTTCTTGTTGATAAGCCGCTATGTGGATCAATGCTCGCTCCCTCCTTTCTTCAGCAAGGTCCAACTCCAATGCCACCGCTTCATTATTCAGATCTGGCTGGAAACTTTCAGAGCAGATGGTTGGCATGCCAATTTCCAACGGGATGACGGCCTCTATGCCATTAGGGAGTTTTTCAGCCCACTTGCCCTTAGCCTTCTCAAAGCCGCTTCTTCAGCCCATCCAGGATGGTCTTGTTTGAGACCGCTACTTGACCATTTGACTAAGGATAGGCCGGTGTCGAATTGTAGAACTCGATCTTCAACTTTTCGCAAAATCCGCGAAAGAGTTTACCATCAAATTAAGTGCCATTATCCGAGATGAGGGCCTTGGGTATACTGAAACGGGTGATGACATTTTGCCATACAAACTTCTTCACGTCCTTTTCCTTTATGGTCGCTAGTGGCTCGGCCTCGACCCACTTGGTGAAATAGTCGGTGGCGGCGATGAAGAACTTGCGATTGCCCGGTGCTGCTGGGAGTGGTCCAACAATATCCAATCCCCAAAGCGCGAACGGCCAAGGACTTGAAAGTGGGAGCAAATCTCTAGCTGGCAAGTGGATCTGGTGAGCGAATTTCTGACTCTTTTCACACCGGCGAACGTATTTCTGCGCGTCCGCCTGCATGCACGGCCACCAGTAACCTTGGAAAATTGCTCGGTAAGCCAAGGACCTGCCTCCAGTATGGCTTCCACAGATGCCCTCGTGTATCTCATAGAGGAAAGCCTCCACCTTGGTGGGGTGGACACATTTCAAATACGGCCCAGTGAAAGATTTCTTGTACAAGGCCCCGGAAGGGGAGAGCCAAAACACTCTGACTTTGCCCGGATCTTGTGTGCCGCCTTCTTTTCTTCTAGTAGAATTCTATCTTTCAGGAAGGCGATGATAGGATCCATCCAAGAAGGGCCCAAGTCGGTGCAAAGTACCTCGGCCACTTCCGGTTCTTCTATACTTGGCCGCGGTAAAAATTCTATCATCAAGGGATTGGGAAAAACTGTCTAAGTAGAAGCGAGCCTGGCCAACTCATCAGCTGTGTTGTTTCCTTCGCGGTTGATCTGCTCTACCCTTATGGCATCGAACTTTTTGATCTCTGCACGGACCAGAGCCTGATACTTGGCCATTCTTTCATCCCTGGCCTCATACTCCCCTGAGACTTGATTAACCACCAGCTTGGAATCGCTGAACACCATCAGGGCCGACGCTTTCATTCTTAGTGCGCTTCTTAGCCTGGCAAGGAGAGCTTCATACTCAGCCTCGTTGTTGGATGCTGGGAAGCTGAGTGTAATTGCCTGTTCGATGACCAGCCCGTCCGGTGAGTTCAGCACGATGCCCAGCCCGGCCCCATGTCCGTTGGATGCCCCCATCAACGAAGAGCTTCCACATCTCGCCAATAAATAGCTTCCAGCAATCAGAGGGGTTCTGGGAGCTTCTCAATTCCAAGTCTCTGATCGGTTCATTCTGGTCTCTTTCCTTGTCTTGGTTGGGTTCATCATCGCCGGACTTTGTTAGTTCAGTCGTGCTCGTCCCTTTTCCTACTTGCGAACCAACACTTGTTTTTGTTGCCAGAACCATGGGTTGTGCTAAATCTGCATCAACCAAATCAATCGGGCATACTGGATGCATCCCAAGGGCAAATTCCGCCACAAAGTCAGCATGTGCTTGAGCCTTAGTTGCGGTGCGTGGTCGGAACTGGACGTCATATTGTCCTAATTCCACGGCCCATTTCAAAATTCTCCCAGTGAAGTCTGCCTTTTCAAAAAGCACCTTGAGCGGGAACTCAGTTAGCACAACTATTGTATGGGCATGAAAATAGTGTGCCAGCTTTCTTGACGCCATCATTAGGGCCAGCGCCAATTTTTCCAAGGGAAGATATCTCGTTTCGGCTGGGAGCAGAGTCTAGCTTACATAGAAGATCGGTAGGTGCTGGATGCCTTCAGTACGGACCAATACCGCGCTGACCGCGTGTTGAGAGACAGCCAAGTAGAGATACAACTCTTCGCCCGGCTGAGGCGTGACCAAAATAGGGGCTGAGGAGAGATATGCTTTCAATCATGCTCGGCTTGGTAATGGCGCAACTCATCCCTTAGCTTGGTCACGATGGTAACCCCAATCACGACTAGGTCGGATGGGGTTAAGGGGCAATTGAGAGGGGAGATTTGCTCGTTAGTACGGCCGAGCTACAATAACGCCGATCATGACGAACCGCACACCGCCGAGCAGACTCCTCTCTTGCTCGGCCCAGCGGCCTGACTTGCACGGCCGGAGAGGTCGACCGGCCAGACACGAACCAATGCCTGGTCGAGCTATGACGCGGCCGAGCGCGCAGCAGTGTCTGATGACCAAGCTAACAGCAGCCCGGAATGGACTTGAGATGCGAATAGCGTCGGCGTGCGCCTAACCGATCGGCCGAGATGAACGGGCTTCATGTGATCTAGAATGGAGAACGGTGGAAGTCCAGCATGCTTCATGGCCGTTCGGTCAGGTGGGACCGATCATAAATAGCCCGGCTATGAGCATAACACTTTGGCCCCTTTGCCAAGGGGCAGGTCGGCGTTCATTAGCTCGGTTATGTGTTCGAGTAGGCAATTCTCCATAAGGAACCAGCTGGTCGTGGTACTCCGGTTAAGTATGCCACCTGGGCCAATGGCGTGAGGGAGAGGACATCTGCTCCACGCACGCACCAATACCGTTTGGCAGTTCCGCATGTACTGGTTGGAGGACAAAATCTTTACACGCGTAAGGTGGTGAGAGACAAGCACTGCCACCTGTCCAGGGGAGGACAACAGAGGTGGTGCGCGCACGATCTTGGGGCTGCATGGCCAGCCTAGAAATAGTGGAGGAAGGTGAACGTTAGAGGTATACAACTTCTTCCCCAAAGAGAATACTTTCTCTCTAACAGTCTTCTTCTCAAGTGGACTGACTTGATCGTCGGAGGGTCTATCCGGCACACCATCGCCGGGCAGCTCACTGTTTCTGTGTTGCCAGGTAGACGCCGTCAAGAGAAGCTTGGAGTACAAGGAGTACGGAAAGCAGAGGATATTTCGCCCCCGTACAATTGGCGCCGTCTGTGGGAAATCTTTGATTCTCAACCCTTGTTCTTTGAGCTTCCTCGACCATTTCCATGGCCAACTACGGCGAAGCCCTACTGTCCGTCGTCGATGGCGTCACACCTGAGTATGTCCGCTTGAGAGAAAGCCCCCCGAATATTCCAGCCATGGCAGGCCTAGAGACTTCTTTACGAGGTGAGCAAGACAAACGCGGGAGGAGTACTGATCGCTCGCAGAGTCCAGAGGGCCGCCAACGCCGGAGGGAGTCCCATGCGCAGCGCGTGGAGCACAAACTCAAGGACCAAGATGCCCTCATTCCCAAGATGGCGGCGGAGATGGAGCTGCTGAAACGCCAGATTAAAGGGAAGGATGTTGCTGGAGAGGGCAACCTCAGTGAGCGTACCCCGTCCCCTCGTTGTAGCAGTCGCCGCCAGGGGAGGACTCACTCTCTCTCCATCACCAGGAACTAAGGGTTTGGAGATTCTGACCAAAGAGAGGGCAGGTCCCTCTCTTGCGAAAGCACTTACCGCCCCTCACGCCCGACGCCGACGTCGCGATCCTCTTTCTCCACACGTTCCAGGGACTTGAGGGATGTATTGGAGGAGAGGGCGCGCCGTCGGGAGGCTCAGAGAGTGCCGGCATTGCAGAGGTTGAGCGCTCTAGTTCGTTGTAGTGAGGAAGTGGCGATGCCAGCCCCCAAAGCGATAGCCCCTACGCTGGTGGACAAAGAGCTGGCGCGACTTACAGCCACGCCGCTGTCTCCAGAGATTGAGAGTACACCACTCCCT